CCATAGCTCGCGGTATTCCATTCATTCGGGTGCCGCGAAGATGTATCAGGATTTGAGGCAGTACTATTGGTGGATAAGGATGAAGAAAGATATTGTGGGATTCGTAGCTCGGTGTCTCAATTGTCAGCAGATGAAATATGAGCATCAGAGACCGGGTGGTTTGCTTCAGCAGATGGTTATTGCTGAGTGGAAGTGGGAGAGGATCACTATGAACTTTGTTGTTTTGATGCTATTTGGGTTGTGGATCGTCTGACCAAGTCCACACACTTCATTCCTGTGTGTACTACCTATTCTTCATAGCGGTTGGCAAAGATCCATATCCGAGAGATTGTTCGTTTTCATGGTGTTCTGGTTTCCATCATTTCTGATAGAGGTACTCAATTTACTTTGCAGTTTTGGAGAGTCGTGCAAAGAGAGTTAGGTACTCAGGTGGAGTTGAGCACAATTTTTCACCCTCAGATGGATGGGCAATCCGAGCGCACTATTAAGATATTGGAGGACATGTTGCGTGCTTATGTCATTAATTTCGGAGGGTCATGAGATCAATTTTTTCCACTTGCAGAGTTTGCTTATAACAATAACTACCAGTCGAGTATTCAGATGGCTCCATATAAGGATTTGTTTGGGAGGCGGTGTAGATCTCCAGTTGGTTGGTTCGAGCCCGGTGAGGCTAGGCTATTGGGGACTGATTTGGTGTAGGATGCTTTATAAAAGGTAAAGGTGATTCAGGAGAGGCTTCGTACAACACAGTCGAGGCAAAAGAGTTATGTTGATAGAAAGGTTCAGGATGTGTCCTACATGGTTGGCGAGAAGGTTATGTTGAAGGTTTCACCCATGAAAGGTGTTATGAGATTTGGAAAGAAAGGGAAATTGAGTCCGTGGTTCATTGGGCCTTTTGTGGTGCTTCAGAGGATTGAGGAGGTGGCTTATGAACTTGCTTTGCCACCCAGCTTGTCAAGTGTGCATCCGGTATTTCATGTTTCTATGCTCCGGAAGTAAATTGGGGATCTGTCTCATGTTCTGGATTTCAGCACGGTTCAGTTGGATGATGATTTGACTTATGATGTGAAGCCTATAGCTATTTTGGGTTGTCAGGTTCGTAAGTTGAGATCAAAGGATATAGCTTCAGTGAAAGTGCAGTGGAGAGGTCGGCCTGTAGAGAAGGCTACCTGGGAGACCGAAAGGGAGATGCGGAGAAGATATCCTCACCTGTTTGAGGCTTCAGGTATGTTTTTTGATTTGTTCGCGGATGAACGTTTGTTTAAGTTGGGGAAGATGTGATGACCCGACAAGTCGTCTCATGAGTTACCGCTCCGTTTCCCCCATTTCTACTTTTTTATACTTCGTTATCCATGTTTTATGGTATCGGGTTGGTCGGATCAAATCCAGAATGATTTTGGTAAGGTTTGAGACACTTAGTCTCTTTTAAGGGAGTTTGAGTTGGAAAAGTCAATCGGATGTTAACTTATGTGTTAGAGGGATTGGATGCGAGTTCCGGTGGTTCGGTTAGCTTCGAGAGGTGATTTATGGCTTAGGAGTGTGATCGGAATGGGTTTTGGAGGGTTGGAGTAGTTTAGGCTTGAATTGGCGAAGTTGATATTTTGGCGATTTCCAGTTGATAGGCAGGATTTTGATATAGGGGTCGGAATGGAATTCCGAGAGTTGCAGTAGTTCCGTTGTGTCATTTGGGATGTGTGCGCAAAATTTCAGGTCATTCGGACGTGGTTTGGTTGGGTTTTAGATCAAACGCGTAATTCGGAAGATTTTAGAAAATTTGGCTTGAATCCGATGTGTTTTGGGTGATTTGATATTGTTTGAGGTGTTTTGGTGATTGGAACAAGTTTGAATAAGGTTTTAGGATATGTTGGTGCCTTTGGTTGAGGTTCCGGGGGCCTCGGGTGAGTTTCGGGTCGTCTATCGGATCATTTTTGGAGTTACGAAATTGCAGAAGTTGCAGGTTCAGCTGTATCACGCTTTTACTCTTCGCGTTCGCGAGTGGACCCTCGCATTTGCGAAGAGTCAGTGGGGGCCAGTGGAAGTTTAACCTTCGCGTTTACGAGGGAGGCTCCGCATTTGCGAAGGGCTGGAAGCTCGTGCATTGTGTTCGCGAGATGTAAGTCGTGTTCGCGAAGAAGGAAATTAAGGCCTGGGCAGAATGTTTTTTAACTCGTCTTGTCTGCGATTTTTGGGGCTCATTTTCTCCATAGCTGGTCGTTTTTGGAGATTTTTGAAGGAGATTGAAGATGCATTCAAGGGGAATCATTGGGAGGTAAGATTTTCGGACTTAAAACTCGATTATTACGTGAATTTCACCGAGAAAATCATAGAATCTAAGCCTAAAATTGAAGAACTAGGGCTTGAAATTGGAGACCAAACATTTGGGATTTGAAGGGTCATTTGTGGATGGAATTTGATGTTCTTGGTATTTATGAACTCGTGGGGAGATAAGGAATCTATTGGTGTAAAAATTTCTGAATTTCGAGACGTGGGCCAGGGTGTTGGGTTTTGGTAATTTCAGGATTTGTGCCCTTTGTTGATTGTGTTTGCTTGGGCTTCGTTCCCTTAGTATATGCTGACGTCCTCATTCTAATTTTGGATAGATTCGATGTGCGTGGAGGTCGATTCGAGGGGGCAAAGGCGTCGCGAGCTAGAGATTTAGCCGGTTCAAGGTAAGTAATGATTGTAAATGATATCCTGAGGGTTTGAAACCTCGGATTTGCACATCATGGTGCTATATTGAGGTGAGACACACGCTTGATGACGAGCGTGGGGTCGTGTACTATTGGGGATTGTGACTTGGTCCGTCTCGGTTGATGATTTTACTGCGTATTTGACTGAATCTTATTTGCTATTATCATGATTTGGGTTGAATATCATATTTGGGATTCGTGCAACTATCTGAACCCTTTGGGGATTTTTATTAATATTCCTCATTGTTTTGACTATATACTTGAACCCAGTCATGTTATTTTCCATTGTTTTCATACTCATCCATGTTTACTCAGTTCTAAGACTTAAATGATATTTTAAATGATGTTTGGGCTGAGAAACACAGTTTTACTATTGCACGAGGGGCTTGTGAGTATTTTTGACTGAGTAAGGCCGAGGGCCTAGTTGTGAGGAAACACTGATACGGATTTGAGGCCGAGGGCCTGAGATATATAGCCACGAGGTGGCTTGATTGATATGAGGTCAAGGGCCTAGATTTGATGCCACGAGATGGTTTGTTATTGCGATTGGGCCGTAAGGGGCCCCTCCAGGAGTCTGCACACCCCTAGTGAGCGCTTGTACTTATTGTGATGTGAGATTGAGCCCGAGGGGCTGGTATCGTTCTGAGATATTGCCTGACGGGCGGATTTGTTGATATTGTGCCCAAGGGGCGAACTTCTATTTGTTTATTTTACCTTAATTACCTGTCAATTACTTGTTTACTGGTTGAAGGAGGATTTACTTGACTTTCCACTGTTTTTCTGCGTTTAAATGGTTTTACTGCTTCATTATAGAATGTCTTGTGCCTTACATGTTTTCTTACTTTCAGTCGTTATATACGTTTGTTACTCATTGAGTTGTAGTACTCACTTTACTCCTTGCACCCCTGTGTGCAGATTCAGGCATAACTGGTACCGCTCTCGAGTGCTGATCCCCCCAGTTTCAGGCAAGCGTTCGGAGACTACGAGGTAGCTGTTGACGTCCGCAGCCCAGTGTCTCTACTCTTTTATCATTTCTATTTCCCTTCAAACATTTGTACTAGTACATGGATTTAGCAGACTTGTATTATGGCCTATAGACGCTCATGACTTGTGACACCCCGGTTAAGGCTGTGTGGGTTGTGCTTCCGCACTTTATTGACATTATCCGCTACTTAGTATTGCTATATCATGTTTTAGACTGCTTTTATTTTATGTAATTGGTTAAAAAATGAATTGGGTTTAATTGGATGACCTTGTCTTCACGAGATGCGCCACGACCGGTTCGGGTTTAGGGTCGTAACAGAATCAAGGTACCACATAGGACAAAAATGAGCATCTTCAGATACAACATATGCAAATCTGGACTTTTCCCCAAATTAAAAGTTATATAATTTAGATGTTTTAACTTTATTTCATTAAATTAAAAAAATAATATTTGAACTCACACAAATAATTCAATGACTTTGACATTGATAATTCCGATTTTTTTAGGAAAAAATTTTAGAATTAATTTGATTTACAATTGCTAATTAAAAATTAATCATAATTTCAATTAATTAAAATTTAGTCAGCTTTCATGTGAAAATAAAATATGGACAAATATACCCTATATTAAAATTAAGAAAAATTTCAGTATAATAGAGTTTTTTTTTTTTTAAATATAAAACTTTAGCATAATATAGTGGAAATTCAAGTATAATACTCTGGAGTTATGCTGGTGTTTCTAATTTAGCATTTTAACTAAGGATAATTTTATCCAAATTTTATTTTTGTATTTAATAGTGATTGTTTTTAGTAACACGGGCTATTTTCCATTACCAACCCAAAAAATTGTGAGCACATGCTATTTTGACTTTTTTTTTTTTTTTAAAAAAAGACAGAACTATAAATGAGCTGCTTCTTGCTTAAACTTGTCATTTTCCGTTTGAATTAAAGTTAATGCGGAATGCATGTGGCTGTAATCACCTAACTGCCACTCTTAAATATTCTTCATTTTCAGCTACCATTCCGAATCTCAGTATATCCCAAAAAATTAAAAAAAATTAGTTTGACTGATTGGTGAAGCCACTGGATTCAATCATGAACTCTTCTCATCAGAGTAATAATATTCAATTTAGTTCTCAATTAAATTCCTACTATTTTCTCCCAAACTTGTTCTTCACGTTTTTCTTCTTCTTTCAGAATGGAAGATTCAGATCGGAATCCGTCATTTTCCGGCGATGCGTCTGCGTCGACATCGCGAGAAGAGGAGGAAGTTCCGGTGATTGACGACGATGATCGACGGCCTCCGTTGCCGTTTCCGGAGAGGAATAGTGTTTTTCACAATGCGCCGTATTTTCCGGCGGCCGATAATGAGGAAGCCGTGGTGCCGTTGGCGAGAGATGATACCTGGTCATGCGTAGTTGTTGTTCTCACTTTCTGGTTCTTCGGTAGTTTTTCTCAATATTTAAATTAATTTGATGATATTTTTGTTTTTTCACCAGCTAAATATAAAAAAAAATTCAGTTAACTTATTGTTTACTGATCAATGGTTACATTTATTGGCACTATTAGGATCATATATTTTTTAATAACGGGCAACTAGCGAGCAGGAGTTATCTTATGGAACACAGTTATTAACAAATCAAACTTAGTGTATGGCTTTAGTCGACCAAAAAAGAAAGAGAGGATAAATTTCAATATTTACTGTCCCGATAACTACTACCTATCATATTTGCAGATGTTCATTGTGCCCTTTTTTCCTTGTATACTTGTGTCTTATTTCCCGTTTTTTTTTTTTTTAAATCTTAGAATATCCTCAGTTTTAGTGGAAAAAATGTAAACAAAAAGAATCGGAAGTCTTTCACTACTTGAATAAGCACCTCTTTTGGTAAGTAAATTTTTTATTACCCCTAGAGATGATCAGCAGTCTCACCTCTAGAAAGCTGATAAGCTAATATCTTATATCTCCTCCTGACTTCCCTAAAAAAAGGATGAGAACTCCAAGCTAAGACACATCATTCACAATGCTATATGACTGCTAGACTACCCTTCTTCTGTACAACATCTTTCTCCTAGGCATCAATGAAACAGTATCAAGGATAGAAATTCATAGTTTCCAGCTGCCCTGCAATCTTCTCGTTGTGACTTCCTCGACAAGGACATCCTGTACTCATTTTGCAAAGAGTCTCCACATTTCTCCTTCTTCCCTGGAATAAGCACCTTTACATGCCAATTTATGTTTCGTTCTTTAGATTGGTTACTTAGCCATTTAGTATCATGTACTCTACTGTCTCGGACCTTGTAACTTGAGTTAGTTATGCAAAATTGATGCCAAAAGAGGACAAAGATCAGTAGGTGTTAAACCTTTTGATCTTGTTGACCGCCTATGGTTTTTCTCTTAGATGACAGACCACTACGACCATCACTACAACAAAATAAGTATGACAGCTCAATCCCAACCAAAACAGGTAGGCGATTTGAATTCCTCATCATCCTTCACTTGGACCTGTTTCATTCCTATATTCGATAATTTGGGGATCTCTAACGCTGAAAATCATATACATTTCTACTGATATATCTATAAAAACTAAAAATGTTCCGAGCAAAATTGGGCCTAATGCAAGCATGCCAATATGATTAAGATTTTATTCAGAACTATCAGGCGTCACTCATATGGATCTTTCGCTTCTATTGCATTCCGTTTTGGCTAAGTCTGCATGGATTTCGAGAGATTGTAGGTTTTTTTAGACAGCTTTTTTCATGTGACTGTAGGTCTATCTCGTCCCTTTTAAAACCTTTAATTATTATGATTTCACACCTATAGCCCTTTGCATTTGGAAGTTTAAGTAGGACATAGATAAACCATCTCAAACGACATTCTCTCATGTTGTTCGTTATGCATACAACTTGCACCTCCTGGCGGATGTGGTGAGATCATTTTTTATCTTGTCTGATTTTGTATGCACGCACATCTATCTTATCATCTGCATGTGTGTGACACTCATCTTGTTCATATGTTGGGCCTTAAGATGAAACAAATTTATGAAAATGAACAGGGATTCAAAATAACAACTATAATTTTTATGACAATTGGCTAGAGGATGTGAATTTCATGGACATCTGAAGTTGACTGCAGTTAGGTAAGTATGGTAAATTGATGATGGATTGGGGGGAAGAACGGCTGGCTGGTAATGGTAGTGTGTTGCTCCAAATGATTAAAAAATCATGTATTTTGATGGCTTCATGTGACTTTGTTCAACTATTGTTACATTGTGCAATCTTATATTTGGCAAGTGAATCACTTAACTATACTAATAGGTCCGCTAGCATGCTCTTGTTATTATTTTTACTTAAAAGCTTTAATTCAATGTAAGAAGCACGCTATACTAAAACGCTTTTTCCGCTTACAATTTTCCTTATTTCTTTCCTCCCAGTAAACACACTATTTGACACTTCAGAGCTTTCTTTGTTGAAATAATTTCTCTTTTCTCCAGTATCTATGACTTTGATAGGGAGTTTCCCATTAATACGCTTGTCCATTTCCATTTTATTGTTTATTTTCTTCCACTAGACACACTGTTTGACACTTCAAAGCTTGCCTTGATGAATGTTTTCTCTTTGTTCAGTATCTATGACTTTGATACTGGGGGTTTATGGACCATCCAATTTGCAGCTTGGACCAAATTCCTCAATCCTGATAAAACCCAATCCCTTATTTGTGGAAAATATAAAGGTAAATGTGTATCCTTAGCCTACATTTTTATTATTTCCTAAGTTTTTTGTTTAACAATTTGTGTCTTCCTACTAGGTGGAAGAGATGGATGATGCAAACACTAGACCAATGGTGTATGGGTTTTATGAAAATCCTTCTCTTGATGTTTTAACAACTTTTTCTGAAGCTTACAAAACCTCTCTTCCTGCAAACACTAACAAGGCATGACATGGCATTAAATTTCTCTGTACTCTCTGATACCTAGCTGAGGATGGTTACATGAATTTTCTTATGTTTGATTTTACAGCAATGGATATATTACTTGAATCAAGGATCTCAAATAAACATTTCATATAGTGTCAATTCCTCAAGTTCGCATTCTTTAGTCCTTATTATTGCTCAAGGTAAGTTCATCTTCGTTAATTTTTGTTTACTAGTGTCCCATTTATTGTTTAAGGGTGAATCTGAATCTATACTAGGATGTTCTGTAAGTCAGCATCAACACTTATCAAATCAATCCAAGTTTATGGGCTTTTCACCTCACATTAGCAGTATCATAGGATGTAACTAGTGTAGAGGACTCGTCACAGTCCTCAACGTGGTAGGAGTGCGTTCCACCTCACTATTGCAGCATAGCTTCTATGATCCTTGAGTGCATTGTGATCTTTGATTCTTAGATGCTCATCCAGAAAAACAAAGAATATTTTACTTTGTACTATCATTTAGCTTACAGTTGACCCATAATTTTTGTCTAAGCTAGACTCTCCTGAGTCCCAGTCCCCACCTTTCAGACCCAAGGTCAAAAACAAGTGTTCCCTGGCACTATCTATCTCCTTGTTTTCCTCGTAAAGTAGTCCATCAGAGGGGTGTATTCTGGTCCAACCCTTCAATGGGAAACCATCTTTGTAGCTCACTCCCTTGGAAGGTGGTTATCTGACTTTTCAATCTTCGTATTGAATACAGCTAGTCGAATACTGACGTGCTAGCTCCATTTCAGTTTTCTAACACTTAGATATTTTTCTCTAAAAGTTGATGAACTGCAGGAAGCGAAGGGCTAGCGCAGTGGCTTGAGGACCCATCATATCCAAATACTACATTATCATGGAATGTCATTCATGGTAAGAAAGAAAACTAGCTAAGTTACTTATGGTCCGTGCATAAAAGGTCTTGTAAGAACTGTACATCACAAAAGATAGAAGTCAGCTTATCGCACCAACTGCATTTCTGCAGGGAATGGCACAATCAGCCAGGACATAGGAAAATCCTCTAGTTATTACGTGGCAGTGGGCAACTTGAACTCTGGAGTTGTGCAGGTCAAATAAGTAAACTGAATGCTTTGTACCTTTACCAAGTCTTAATTGTCACTTATGATAGTACGCTTCATGGCAAGTATGGTTGTAGAAGCTTCCTTCCCCCTGATGAACACTTATTTAATCAAATTGGTAGAAAGAAATTGTGATGTTCGTGATTTTTCAAATTACTTTGGGTGTGGGTTCGTAGTTTCCTGCTTTGCACTGGAATTGCGTTATCTTACTTCTTTTTTGTTATTTATCATGTTTGGTTTTGAGCAAAACAGGTTCGTTTGGATATTAAAGGTAGGGCTTTGCTCTATAATACAACCGGTGCCTACTACGAGTGCAACCTTAGACGAAAACAGTGTAGTATGAGATTCTTTTTGGCCGGTCGAAATGCTGCGCTTTTGACTTCGCCTCCCCAAAGGCCAGTAAGTCACCAGTTTTTTCTAGTTCTCCTTGTTTAACTCTCTCAGCAAAGAATATACCCAATATGAATGCGCTAGTTTTGCTATCAATACATTTGCAGTTTTTTTTTTTTTTTTTTTTTTTTTTTTTTTTTTTTTTTTGAGAAGGATACATTTGCATTTTTTAGCAGTCTTTGTATTATTCCTATTAAAAGTTCTTTCTTTGATCAGTGAATTTTAAACCTCATATGGACACAATCTTGAGAACTTCAGTTAATTTACGATAGAGAATTGGAACTTGGGTCTAACTCAATCCCAAAAGCTAGGTCAAGAGGTGGGGATTGCCCAAGCCATATTAAGGAGACCACCCATTCCTTAAAGCACCGATGTGGAACTCTTCACAATTTATTTGTTGGAATAGTATGTTCTGCGTGAAGTTATAGACCTTGGGCCTGACTCAACCCCGAAAACTAGCTAATGAGGGGATGATTTGCCAAGTCCATATAAGGAGATCACAACCCATTCCCTCAAGCAATGTGGAATTTAACACTCCCCTGCACACCCAACTGGAGCTTGGATAACATAACAAGGGCCTAACATTGAGAAATACAACAACCGGGATCGATGGGTCTAACACTAATACCATGTGAAGAAATGGACCTTGGACCTAACTCAATCCCAAAATCTAGCTCACGAGGGGAGAACTGCCCAAGTCCATATAAGGAGACCACAACCCATAATCAACCAGCTTGGGACTTAAAATTCTGTTTGTGTATTTTATAACTTGTTGAATGGAGACTACTTGAGTGAATTAAGACCAAGCTGTAACTTTTCTGCTTCCATCATCACAAACAAGCAATCGTTGCTGGGACTAGATTTTTAAGATGGAGTTAACTAGTTAATATAGTTATTGCATTACTGTGTTTGAAGATTTCACATGAATTTGTCATGATGGCTCCATCATTATAAGGATTATAGATTGTCTTGTTAGAGATCCTTATTTGAGTACGTTTAGTTATTTGGCCTTAACTCGAACAGATTTCATGCGAATGAATTTAGGCTTTTTAAAATTCCTGTAGGGTACAGCTACCGGTATGTGGAGTGTCAAACTTTCCTATGGACCTCGATGGATCACATATCTTCTTGGAGTAGGTATATTTCTCTTTTCTACGTAAATCTGACGTCCTAATTGAAAAACCTGTAGTTTTTCATATTCATCATTCTTTCCAAATGCAGGAGGTATGAGTTTTCTCATTTGGCTGGTATTCTGGTACTTGAATAATATGCAATCCACTCATCAGGAAGGGACTAGAGATCCAGTGGGGCCGATGGAATCTCAGCAGACCCCTCTTCTTTCACGCAAAGATGATGATCTCACAAGCTGGGGTTCTTCTTATGATGGTCTTTCACAAGATGACGAGTATAATGAAGATGGACTGGACCTCACTGCACCTCAAGGGAAACAAGTAAAAGATGGTGAATACAACAGCAATATTCGCCGTCTTTGTGCAATTTGTTTTGATGCGCCAAGGGACTGCTTCTTTCTTCCATGCGGACACTATGCGTCCTGTTTTGAATGTGGAACAAGGTATGCCACTCCTCTCGCTAAAAACTATAAATGCTTCATTTTTGAGTTTAAACTCAAGAAGGAAGGACCAAGTACTTGCAAGAGAATATGGGTTATATGCATATGAGAGAAACCAGCTAGCGATGACACGCAGCTACCCATCCTCTAATAAAAAAAGATCATCATTGAGAGTTGAATATTATTGTTCTTGCTCATTAAGAAAATGTGGTTCGGGGATACTATTATAGATACATGGATGGGGTAGTATAGGCATATATCTAAGACCAAACTTAGGACTAGTCACAGCTTTGCCCTCAAAGGAAACTATCACCTATCTGTCTCATTCCCACAACCAAGAGATCCTGTTATGGATGTTGCTCTTCCCCTTTCCTTTTTTCCATTTCATCTTCTAGCTCCCTCCCTTATTTCTGGCATTTCGTCTTCATCATTGAGAGTTGAACATTATTGTTCTTGTTCATTGAGAAAATGTGGTTCGGGTTTACTATTCTAGCTACATGGATGGGGTACTATAGGCATATATCTAAGACGCAACTTAGAATTAGTCACAGCTTCGCCCTCAAAGGAAACTATCGCCTGTCTGTCTCATTTCCATAACCAAGTCCTGTTATGGATCTTGCTCTTCCTCCTTTCCCTTTTTTCCATTTCATCTTCTATGCTCCCTCCCTTTTTCTGGCAATTCTGTTTTGCCATCCCCCTCTCATTGTTCTAAATTTCACCAAGGCAGCAAACAAATTTCAATATCATTTATTGAACTGTCATTCGTGCAAGCCTTGAAAGAAAGGGGGCAATACTGTGATCAATCCTTCTACAATATATTAAGAAGCCCACAATATAAACTGCTCCAAGATTTGTCTTTTTGATCATCAGAACCGTAGAGTTCCAGTACTATAAATGAGAAAGTCATACTGCCTGCTGAAATACAGGCTAAACATAATGCTCTAGTATATTAAGATCCGTGCTAGTTAGTACGTCAATCCGAGGTAATATTGCCTTCCTTTTTAGGGGTTACATAAGCACTCGGGTGTCAGTCTGCGATGGCATGCTGCTTTACTTAGCATGCATCAAATTCTAAGAATCTGTTCAATGGTATTTATCAGCGGAGAAAGAAAGAAAGAGAATCTTATCCCAATGATTTAATGGTGTGATTGAGAACAAGAACGAAAAAAGACTAAAGAGATAGCTCTAGCTGGTCACATTCCACCAAATTTCTGTAGTAACTCCATCTAGTTGGTTATTAAGATCTAGCTATTACTAATACTCTGCCTATACTTGTTAAAAAAATTAATACCCCACCTATTTCGAGCTAAATTGCAGAAACATGTAGTTCGAGTCTTAGTCTGTTGATAGTTAAAATGGATCCAGGAAACTGGAAATTCATAAATTGTTAAGGTACATACAACTTTGTGCTATGACTTAGAGGATGACCTAAGTTTACTGTATTTGCCAAGGCATTTTCCCCAATTCCTAGTAACTTAGTCGTTGGTGGTATCTACACTGGCAAAGTAAATGCTCAATGCATATGGAAACTCCATGCATGACTGGTAACACCATGAATTGACATTTACAGGATAGCAGAAGCTGCTGGTACTTGCCCAATCTGTCGCAGGCCTATGAAGAAGGTGAGAAAGATATACTCAGTTTGAGCAGCCAAGAGAAAGCTGTTGTAGATACAATGTACATAGATCATGGATATACCATGTACTCCTTCCAGTGAATTAGTCTTTGAAGATGCTGTAAATGAAATAGTTCACAGTGTTGGTAGGCCTATTTCTTTTTATGTGAATAACTAAGAGCATGTGTAGCTGGCAGCACATATGTATAATGTGATGCCCTTTTCCTTCTGTTGCCATCTTTTTTGGTATAGCCGGCAGCACATAATGTATTCTTCTGTAGCATGTATTTTAATTCTTTTTCCCCTGGATGTTTGGTTCTTTACATTGGTTTACTCTACCAAATAGCAATTACACTATCATGTACTTGAAAACATACAGTTGGTGAAGTTACGCACATTCTTGTTGATATTCTAATATCTACGGTTTTTAACCATACTGCAACACTCGGAGTCTCTAGATTATATTCTTGTTTTTTTAATGACTATTTTCTTTGTTTTGCCCTACTACCATACACAAGTGATCCATAATGGTCCTTCAATTACGTTTTCTGTTACTTGAACTCTCCTACCTATCGGCTGGAAGCGAAAGACGAAATATAACTGTATAAACAAGTTGTTGAATTTGTGTATGCGAACCTTACCCCTATCTTATACAGGTAAAAAGACTTTTTCCAACAGACCCTCGGCTCAAGCAAGTACAATATCAATAGTAAAGAAATGCATGTAAAAACATGGACAAGTCATGGAAAGGAAACATGTATAGCAACATCGAGATATTAACCGAAACACAAACAATAATCAAGTAATATTATGAGTCCAAATATATGCCAGAACTAGAGTAACACTAAAGCTACCGGTCTGTAAGGAGGATACGTTTTACTACCTACTGACCTTCTATCCTAATTTTCGATCGCCACTGTCACACCTCCTTTTTCCTATCCCCGTAAGGGATATAAGGGGTTTTTTTCCAATTAAAGTGACAATCGAAACAAAATTATTATATTTAAAATTCAGAGTTGCCACTTGGGATAATTTATGGTGTCCCAAGTCACCGGTTTAAAATCCCGAATCGAGGAAAATTGACTCTGTTTATAGTCTGCGAACACAGAAATCCGGGTAAGGAATTCTGTTAACCCGGGAGAAGGTGTTAGGCATTCCCGAGTTCCGTGGTTCTAGCACGGTCGCTTTGATCATACTTGGCTTAATCAAATTGTTTAATTACTCATTTTAGAACTTATGCGCATTTGCCTCTTACTGCTTTTAAATTAAGAAAATTATCTTGAAACGGGTCACGTGTACATGTACCCGTTTGTTTGGTGCGTCAAAAATCATGTCACCCGAACGTGTCCACAATTAATAACGCTTTATTATTATTAAGAAAAATTGGCCAAAGTTGCGCGAACGCATACTCCGATTTTGTTTTTAGAGATCGCAATCATGTCACGCGAACATGTCCACAATCACAATGATATATTAAACGGGCCTAGAGCAACTACGAGTATTTTAATGGCTTAATTTCTAGAGTTCGAGACTAACGAACTTTAGTCAAACCTCCCAAGCTAGAAAGGCTCAACTGTGTCAGCAATTTGTAAGTCATAGGCTCACCTCTAAAGTTACAGATCATGGGCCCAAAACTGAAGCTGAGACAGGTGGGCCTGGGGAGCCTATAAGGCCACTAATCATGGGTCAAAAACTGAAGCTCAGATAAATGGATCTGGGAAGTGCAATACAATCAATTCTGCCATATAGCCCTTTATTTTATTCTATGGTCATAGTTATATCACGTCCCAATAACAAAGACAATTATCTACTTCTAGCAAGCATGGTAGCAGATGGTCAGAAACTCTCTCTAGACATTACACCACGTGTGACTTTGATCAAATTCACAAATAGAATCAAATGAACCAATCCAATTTCATTCCTGATTTCTGAATTCTAGAGGACTGATATTCGAGGAGTAAATTACCAAATACTTCAGAACAGACAAACATGTAAATGCCATAAAACAACTGATTAAGACTAGAGAGGAAGCAACCCAACGTAGAGAAGAATAAGGTTAACTGACAATTCTACAAAACTTAACAGTAGTGCCATGAACTAATCCCATAGTGAAAATACTGCTTGAGTTTTAAAAGTCTTGAGCCCATCATCAACTAATCCCGATGAGCATGCACAATTCACACTTCAGGTATGTTAAAACTCAAACTAATACGTCAACTTCATCTATTGAAAATTAGGCATGATACTTCATAGTCTTAGGTGAAATAGTATCAAACAGAGTACCTAAATAACTCATGCTCGAACAATAAATGGCACAAAACTAAAACTGATGCCATGAGTTGAACAACAGTTGCCTTAGTACAATCGAAAGGAATTCACAGAGTTCGCAAGTTAATTATTTTGAAGGCAAAACAGAGGAACGAAACAGAGGAAGGAAACTTTAATCCGTAAGATTGACGAAAGCAAAGCGCTCAGATTAATCACATAACAGAAGCGTGGTATCAAGCAGAAACATCATGGCTAACAGTGAGGGCCATTCTGGGCCAATTACACATTCCCAATACAGCTTGATAGTTTCCTGAACCTTATGGCTCGTGCTGAGTACAACAGAATGAGCATACAAAGGACTGGAATGGATGCTCAAGTCAGTAACACACTCACAGTTCGTACCAACAAAAAGGGAGTAAGGCAAACAATCAGTGGATTTAATGTTCTCATAATTTCGAATGTAAAACAGAGCCAGAAATTAGGACAGATTCAGCCTTATGATCTCAAAGGATCCCCATGAACTAGATATTCAGTTTACACTTGGATTCCAAGGGTCTCCACCCTATATCGATTACTTGCACCTAATCGCTACAAATCAAACAGAAAGCACCCTTATACTGAGAGAAAAACAAAGATTGATGCGAATAGTTCAATCTTCATGCTCAAACTGTTAGGTTCAAAACAAAACAACCAAGGCAGACACGATGAGAAATCCGTAAAAAATAGTTGGAACACCTAAAAGTAACTTTTAGAACAGGGATACTAATCGACTACTTGTGAACGATTCGAAGTGCACGTCGGCTTACGATATGTGTAAGAGTCTAGAAGAGCTAGCAAGCACAATCACAGGACCAAACACTACTTGAATGAGAAGCAAACATTACGAGGCAGATTAGTGTAACGTCCAACGAGATTCAAACATTTTTGGTTTCTCAACACTGAAGTTAAAGTAAAAGAAAGAAACAAAAATGAACCTGAAAATTAAACTTCGATTAATTCTGTTCGGAAGCAAAATACAAGTAACTGGCGTCAAAGTCGTCAATTCGAGAAAAATCAATGAAAGTCGGACAAGGAACACGAAAATAAACCACCAAACAGCAACAGAAGGCTTCGAAATCTCCAGAAAAACTCAATCGAATTCCATCATTGAAAGTTTAAATCAAGAAAAACCAAGATATATATTTTGTGTTTCTTTTGCTTTGGGAGGAAATCAAAGAACAAACCTCAAAAACTAAAATCAGAAAACGACTTAATAGAAATCAAAACTAAGCAGACTCAGTTTTTTTTTTCAATTCTTATCCCATAAACCTCTCTAAAAAAAAAGAATCCTGCTCAGAAGAGAAAAGCTCACCTTATATAGACCCTCTTGATTTTTCTCGAACCTTCAACACACACCCCCGAAAATCTCTGCAAATCTCCTTCTATGAACAATTTTTGGGACAGATGGAGGGCGAGGATTGATTTTCATCCATCCACGACCCCCATTTATCCAGCAAATCGATCAGGAGCTTAACAACGCACAAAAATTATCTGAAAGGAATCTTCTATTCGTTAGAAACCGTTACATTGTGGTGACGAGGAGAGGGGGAACGCGTGAGGAGAGATTTGAGGCTCATTCGCCCGAATTTTGGCAATTTTGGGAGTGGATTCGGGTGTTCTTTGTGGAGAAGAAGAACAGTACACGTCTGGGTTTGGGAGATTAGGGTTGTCCATTCGTTTGTGTTATAATTTGGGGCCGGGTCGGGTTAACAGGTGGGGGCGGGTTAATTAGAAGATGGAGGTTGGGCTTGGGATTCTTTTTGTTGGTCTTGGCCCAAATAGTTTTTTTTTTCTTTAAGAACAAATTCCCTTTCCCTTTTCTTTTGTTCAATTGCTTTTTATTTTCCTTCTTAATTAATTACACTTAAATTAAAACTCATAAAAATAATTAATTTACTAAATTAAGCTAAAAATCTAATATAATTTTTACAAGAATTAATTACTTCTAAATTAAAGGGAAAATTATTGATTTATAATTAAAAGGCTAAAAATGCAAAAGTAAACCAATTTTGTGATTTTTATTTTTTTAATAAAACACCTAATTTAATAATTAACCTTAAAATGTGAAAATAAATCCTAAATGCAAATGCATGGTATTTTTGTATTTTTCAATGATTTAATTAAAATTAAACATGCGTGGACAAATGCAAACAAAAAGCTACAAAAATCTACGAATTTGCAAATGATGGAAAAATTCATTTTTGTTTTGAATTTATGGGATTAATTCATATAGGGCAAAAATCACGTGTTCACAGCTGCCTCTCTTTGCTCGGAAACACGAAGAGTTTTCGTGCAAAGATAAAGTGAGCGGATACGAGTGATTTTTGCCCGCTTGAATACTCCGTGGGAAGTGTGAGCACTTGATTTTTGCCCTACAAGAACTACTCTCACAAAATTTCAAAATAAAATAGTTGTGTGTTGCTTATGATTTATTTGTATTTGGTTTGTTGTTAACTGCTTATTGATTATTAACTGATCATGGTTACAAGGTGAGCGTAATGAAAGAATGAAAATAAGGAACCTAAAACAAGATTTCTAATGAATGTGAGCACGTGATTTTTGCCTCACACAAATTACTCCCAAAAATTCAAAATAAAATAGTTTTTCTTTTTTGTGAATTTTTCGTGATATTTTTAGCTATTGATTGCATTTGTGTGTACATATTTATTTGTGTAAATTAATGGGAAAGTACAAAAATATAGCATTTTGAATTTAGGATTTTATTTTTAATAAAATTGTATTTTTACAAGAAAAACATAAAAAATAATGCACTTTGCATTTTAGTGTTCAATTGTATGATTTGGTATTTAATTATTCTGTGATAATTACTACTTAGAATTAATTAACATTTTTAGGATAAATTGATCAAGTTTAAATTTAGGTTTGGATTTTTTTTATTTTATTAGAATTCTAGAATAATAAAAGGAAAAGAATAATAAATAGTTTATCAGATTTTTGGGTCAAATTCAGTTTAATTTGAAAAGCCCAAATCAAATTCGCCCCAACCCGGTCCGCCCCCAGCGTCGACCAAACGACGACGTTTTGGTCATGTCAATCTGGACCGTTGAATCAGCTTGATCAAACGGTCCAGAAGTTAACCCATTCACA